GGCAACAAAGTATCATTCATTCATCGTAAAGCCAACAATAGAAGGTTACAGAGGCCATTTAATAACATAAGATTGACTACATAATCTTGCAGATTTAGCAAGACAATCAGCTCGAACATTAGCCAATCTATTTATTTGCCGAAACTTGAAACCTCTATTTTCTGAAGCCTTAATAATGTCCTTCATATAGACTGCCAATGAACTATGATCAACTTCCTTTGGCCTATGCAGTCTTCGAGTCAGCTGTAAAGGACGATATAATGATCTCATATCACCACAAAATGTAACTCCCTCATATCCTAACCGCCATCCTTAATGCTTCTGCTTCAGCTTCCATTGCAGACAACAGTGGCTTTATTGCTCCCGAGCCCTGGAGTAAAACATTTTTTTGATTATCAACAAGAATCCATCCTACTCCAGCTGCTTGATATTGGGAAACCCAGGAGGCATCTACAAAGCAAGTAAGATGCTCAGCCTGTTGGACCACCTGTGTAGCTGTTTGTGGAACCATATTAGTGGATCGATTTTGAATTTGATTACTTATGTCAACTTGAGAATTGAGCTGAACAACTTCCAACCAATTCTTCAGATCTAACAAAGCTCCACTAATAATATCCGGCAATCTTCTTCTATTTCCCCTAAAGATAATCTCATTTCTATGTTTCCATATCATCCAAGCCAACAAATGGAAAAGCTGAATCACATCTGCATTATCCATATTCAATTTCAGAACTTCTCCATAATTATCTTGGATGCTATGGGACACTGACAGAAGATAACTCCCATATATTCCCGACTTACTCTACATGAAAAAAACATATGATTAATAGTTTCTTCCTCCTCCCCACACATAGAACAAAGACTATCTTTTAAAACATGCTTTTGCTTAAGACTTCTACCAACGGGCAATGCATCAATTAGCACTCTCCACCAGAAATGTTTAACCTTAGGAGCTAAATTAATTTTCCAGATACTCTTAAATAAATTAGTTGGAACTTGAGAACTCTGTCCTTTTTGAGAAGGCAGAGAATTATACCCTGATTTAACCGAATATTCTCCATTCTTAGTATATAACTAGGTCAAAGTATCTGGATTATCTGCAATAGATGGATTAATCTTCTGGACCAAAGAGATAACCTCTTCACAACCCAACTCTTGCAACTTAAGAATATCCCAAACCAAAGTTCCTTCTATGAATAAATCTTTAACTCTCAAATTCGGATGTAAAATTTTTCCAGTACCTGGTAATGGTTGGGAAGGAGTAATGGGAAGCCACTGATCAGTCCAAGCCTGATTTGTCATATACATATGGGCTTTATAATTAAACTAATGGGTTTTCCACTAATGTGCTTTTTATTTATTTAATTAAAGAAATCAAAAATTAAGCCTGGTTTTTTCAAGGTTTATTTCAAAATAAGAAACCCAAATTTCTCATATTTTGCGGCGTCACTCTCGTTCACTCAACAGATATTTATGAAGCTTGAGAGAGATATTAATGGCGGTTTCTGCAGGGGCTTTAGCTTTTGCTTCTCCTCTTTCTTCATCCCCTGCCTTATCCGTCCGAGCCGCCCTTAATTCTACTCCGGTGACGGTTTCCGAGATTAAAGATGAACAAGGAAACATCACTAGTTCTTCTACCCAGAAATTCACCTACAGTCGCGCTTCTCCCTCCGTCCGATGGCCACATTTGAATCTCCGTGAGACGTATGACTCCAAAAGCTCAACACCATCGCAGCCTATTTCTTCTCCGGTTTCGCCAACCGATGTCGCCGATATTCCAAATTCCGGTGAATTCGTCGATTCTGTTGGCTCCAGCGAGCAGCAGAAGGCGAATGAAGAAACCGCCGTGGCGAGTCGGAGAAGAAGAGTGAAGAAGCTGAATAAGGTGGCTCTGCTAAGAGCCAAAGATTGGAGAGAGAGAGTGAAATTCCTGACGGATAAGATTCTTGGCCTGAAACCTAATCAGTTCGTCGCGGATATTCTCGATGGAAAGCCTGTTCAGATGACTCCCACTGATTACTGCTTCGTCGTGAAATCCGTCGGTCAAGTGAGCTGGCAACGAGCACTCGAGGTTTTCGAGTGGCTCAATCTCCGTCACTGGCACTCACCCAATGCCCGAATGGTCGCAGCCATACTCGACGTTTTGGGACGGTGGAATCAGGAATCACTTGCGGTGGAGATTTTCACCAGGGCTGAGCCAGCCGTCGGAGACACGGTACAAGTGTACAACGCAATGATGGGAGTTTATTCTCGCAGTGGCAAGTTTTCAAAGGCACAAGAGATGCTCGATGCAATGCGTCAAAGAGGATGTGTTCCTGACCTTATAAGTTTCAATACTCTTATCAACGCTAGGCTTAAGTCTGGTGGCTTGACTCCGAATCTAGCTGTTGAGCTATTAGATATGGTGAGGAATTCGGGTCTTAGGCCTGATGCGATCACCTTCAACACTCTTCTTAGTGCTTGTTCGCGGGATTCGAATTTGGATGGTGCAGTTAAGGTTTTTGAAGACATGGAAGCTCACCGATGTCAGCCTGACTTGTGGACTTATAATGCTATGATCTCTGTGTATGGTAGATGTGGGCTTGCTGCTGAAGCCGAGAGGCTCTTCATGGAGTTGGAGCTTAAAGGTTATTCCCCTGATGCAGTGACATACAACTCTTTGCTCTATGCTTTTGCCAGAGAAAGAAATACGGAGAAGGTGAGTTGGCAACGAGCTCTCGAGGTTTTCGAGTGGCTCAATCTCCGTCATTGGCCGTCGTAAA